TTAATCTACTTGAAAAGGAAACCATTTGAATTACAAAGGCAAGCTTTAAGTATTTTGAAATTATTTGATACATACGTGCATATATTTGTATCTATCTATATATTAATCAAAATATATAGATAAATATACAGGCATACATACTGGCCATACGTGTGTGTGTTTGTGCGTGTGTGTGTTTGTGTGTGGACCAATAATTGTGTTTTTATATACAACAACTTGATACGTGCAACACAACAAAAAATGCTTGTTTTATTTATGGTGCTATGCATATTCGTAGTGAAATTAACAGTAGGGTATGAATGCTATTCTCAAAATTCATAGTATGGTCGCCGCTCTATTACACAGGCAAATCAAAAATAAACTCAGTTTACGTCTTCTACAGCTCTTGTAAACCTCATCATACAGGACACAGTTCACCATCCGACCTGCACGAGGAGGGGTTAAAGAGGGGGATTGAAGAGGGGGATTTGAGCAGGCACGAGCGCGATTTACGCAAAGGCTTGTGGGTAATGAGAAGGTCTGCAAAAACACAGAGGAACAACATGACGAGGTGAAAGGTCACTGGAACCCACTCCCTCATCTTCCATCCCCCATCCAACCAAACACACATCAAAATTAAGTTTCAGACAGCGTGGTACATTTTAAGTAACAAACTCTCCCTGGTTTACGTGGTGCATTGTGGCGTTTTGGTTGGATATGTGCCAGAAAGTCAGCTACCTATACACTAAGTGCTTGTACTTGAGGGTTTCCTCATAAAATTACTTGCAAACAACATGGTGGTACTGGGTATGAATGTAGTGGCACTTTGTGAGGTCAGTATTAACACGGGAACCATTTATGCTTCTTCTGTATACAGTAAAATTGGTCACAGTCATGGATTAAACTCGATATTCGGTTTTTGGAAAATAAATGCATTTTTGCACACGACTCGGCATTTTTTGCACACCACGTGTTGTTTTTACAACAATGGTCTTTCGTTTCGTGAGTGCCTCAGATGAACTGAAATTCTACCTATACTCTTATCTTTTTCCCTTCGTGTGGAAGATGATGTTGTTTGGCCGACAGCATAAAGGGGCTGTGCGCGTTTCTTTTTCACATTCGATTGTGGGAACCGAGAACATATGCTTCGTATTCGGGTATGCTTTTGACAAAGGCTGAAAACTTCGGCGAAATATTTTGGGGCAAAATTTCTTCCAGTCTTAAAAGTAAGACGTTCATTACGTGTTTGAAATTTAGCGCATTCGATGACCACGGAGAAAAATGATATACGTTTTTTAAACATTATCATGCTGGTCGCAAAAGTGGCCAGTGTGGTGATATACTGAAAGTATTTGTCATGTATTTTTATCGCTGTGCCAGCAGTGAAATGGGGGTAAATTAAATGTAGTAAAATAAAATGCGGCTGCCCTTTGTTCCACCATTGTTTTGAGTAGAGCGGGTAGAAGTACGTAGGTTACTCTTACCTTACAATGGCTCTAATATGAAAGTCTTCTCCATCAAACTTTTCTCACGCGATCCTCACGAAAAAGCAAATATAACGACTTCTATCTAAAATAGTAACCGTGCGCCTCGGAAAGGTTTATTTAACCGTCCCAAGTGTTTCTCCCCCTCAATGTTTGAGAATCCGAGCACGTTGTTTCAAGTATGGGGACCCCTGCTTTGTGAATCGGTCTCCTTAGCACCCTCCAAGCCCATCCTAATGGATAAATGAGTGTGGTGGAGGTTTGCACTTTCGAGGGGCCCGCGCGAAACTCACGAAAGAAAACCAGCGCTTCTGACTTATAAAGATGCGTAAAAAATAACAACAAGGGTGTAAAGTGATTCAGCACTGGGAAAAGGAAGAGCAAACGTAACACACTAACGTACACAATCAAAAAACATTGTAAATGTATGTGAAAATGCTCTTACCCCTTTAAAGTGTTTTGAAATTATCGTAAAATATTAATCACTGAAAATTAATTTAACGTTTCAACTCAGGTATTCTTGACCTAAACATTGCTCGGAAACCCAAAATACAAGAGCCGCTGAGATTTACGATCAGCATGAATGTTAATTTTAATTAACTTCATTTTCTAAAATGACCTATAACACAAAGTGATCAAATGTTTTAGTATGCTTATTTAATGGATGAGGACTGACTTTATAACAAGCTTTCCGTGTTTTGTAGATACCGTTTAAAAGAACACCCTGTAAAACAGCCCATTTTCATTACGATATCTTTTAGGGGGAAAAACACGAACATTAATAATTTAAAAACACTAAATAATGCTCTAAATGGCCAGCTCGTGTTTGATCATTTTTATAACTAGGTATACCATTTGCAGTATTTAATACGTCTGTGCGCCTAAGGGAAAAATGGCAGTAATACACCGATGCAAAAAGACATACGTGCATGACGTAAAAGTATAAGACTACAGGATGAGATATGATATAAAAATATCACTTAAACTACAATTGAAGTTAACCACTTGAGTTAATTATTTAATTTGTTGGCTGTTTCGCAAGCCGCTACATTTTTGATCACACAGCAAAAAACAAAAGTATGTTATTCATTGGTATTAAAGATAAACTAAATGCAAATATTTGCATGATGTTTGTCAATTTGACATACATGCAATACGTAAACTGTCTATTTTTTTTAAAAGAACAACGTTCCTAATGCAAATCACCGTTACGCAATCAACAAATCTGCAATATGAACATGAACAATGCTCTTAGCTCTAGAATCTAACGATTTGTGGAGGCTGTTCAGAGCTCGGTTGGTTACAGGTCAGGGGTTGTGTGGGTCACTGCATTATTAGTGTTGCCGTTCTATATATGCATATAAAGTCCTAAAAAGAAGCCTAAACGCTCTCTATAGGTAATATGCTGAATTTGCAGACTACACAAAACTGTATAAAAATTACATTCATAACCTAGTAAAAGTTTCATTAATGAATAAAACTGTAATACCAACATGATTCGTTTTTATATCCAAACATTATATTAAAATTAAATTAAAATAGTTAAACTTTCTCTCCAACACAAAAATCTATATATAACTCTTTTACAGTTGAATATGTCTATAAAAAATAATATTACACGCCTAATATTGCTACAGTGTACGTCATCTGGCATAACCAGTACTACGTGGATAGCCCAGATTGCTCGTTACTGTCTGTAGCAAATGCCATATCTTAGGTTTATAATCTCAAACACATTTTAAACAGCTTTGTGTTTTATCAATTCACTGAGACATTTTTCTTATTTCCGTTCAAATCGTTGCACACTTAATTAAATCATAAAAAGCATTAATCATAAAAAGGTGACTGATTTTGGAATTCGTAACATGATTAGAGTTTTTATTAAACAATGGCCAGGCAGCGCTCCGAAAGCGGTTGCTTAAAATATAGCATAGCTGTTTTGTCTCTAAACATTCAGTGAAAACCGAAAAATCCTGTCCCCATTAATACGGATGCTAACTTTGGCGCCAGTTCTGCTCTATTAATTAAGACTAATAAAGCACCCTCCAGTGTCTGTCAGTGCTGGCTCTTTCCACAGGTTTGCAATTGTAATATCATGATTCAATACGGTCGACAGGTAGTAACTCCACCCTACAAGCTACGAATGCACACAAATTAAAGAGTTTTATAAACATACGAAGTAGTGCGGCACGTTCACAGCAGAGAACGCTGTAGTTGTGGTACACCTAGAACATAATTCGAATAAATGTGTGAGGATCCGCTAAACGTGGTCACTCAACTTCTGTAGGATGTGCAGATAAACTACTAGATATATGATCAATACATTTGGAAAAGGTACCGAGTAGTATAGTATATACTATAATATAAGTTAAACCATAAAAGTTACCCAGTCTAATCAAAGCACGCAACTCTGGAAAGTGAGCAGCATCTAGACCTGCCAGCAATATAAACTTCCGCATAAACTGTGTTATAAAATGCGTTGTTCAGCCTCGTGCTCAAATGATGGTGGATTATATTAACTGTGTGGTGGTGGTGGTGGTGGTGATGGCGGGGGTGGGGGTTGAAAGTGTGTACGTATAGGAAAAAGTACATCAGGCACTGATGTTTTCACCAGACAAATCAACTTAAAAGCAAAGTTTTTGGATTTTCATTTTATTATACATTGCTTTAAAACACACCTCATTCTAATATGCAATAAACGTTAGAAGCTATTGATCAAATTCCCATGGGTGTACAAATGTATCCAGAGAAGCACGTCTCTCCCTAGTCGGCGCTGGGGCCCACGAGCCTTTTTCATTACTATCCCTGAGATCGAACTCGTTCTAATGCAAGTCTCTCGTCCGTTTGCCGAGAATTACAAATTAGACCGCTCTAATTTCGAGAAGGCCAACTGAAGGCGATTTTAATAATTATTTACTATTAATAAAAGTTTAAACATTTCACCTCAGCGCTGGTTGACTACGCCAAGCCTCATGATACAGCTTGGAGAAGCCCCATGCATGGCTATCTTCACTGATCATATGGGCACAGCTTGAAGCTTTTCCCCTCTCCCACAGCCCCGTCTCTGCTTTTCCCATATTTGTTAAAATCCCATGCCTGAATGTTAATGAATCAGCCGGCAATACATTCCAAAGTTTGTGTGCGTTTTACTCGAGACTTCTTGAATATATATGCATGCGATCACGGAAAATATTGATGATGAAACAAAAACTGCTGAAACTGGTTTGCGCTGCCTTCTGCTTGCAACAAAGAGCATTAGACAGACGTGGGATAGACGCTGTTTTATTAGCAACGGTAACATTTATAGACTTTTAAATGCATACAGTAAATCAGCATAAGAACCAAGACACTGGCAGAGATTGTGTTTTCTTTACTGGCACGAGAGACACTCCCGAGAGCGTACAAAACTGAAGGAGCAAAGTAGATGCTGGTAGATGGAACGGCACGACCCAGCAGGAAAAGCAACGCTGCGATCAGAGAGCGGGAGCGGCTTCAGTGCGCACGCGGCGACAGGCTTCATCCCATTATCAGCTCTAATATCGCAACACATTAAACCCCTGGTTTTGTATGCGTCCTATTCATAACCAGCGAAAAATAAAGCACACCATTGTTGCTCGTAATAATTACACGAAATAATCTGAAAGGCGACGGTGCAATCAATCCGTTTTTCTCCTTTCTTTTTATACTGGTTAAACAACCAAAACGGTCACACAGATATATTTGAACATGCAAAATAAATACTATATTTTAAACAATATTATATATATAATAGAATATATTGTATAATACGTTATACATTTCTGTAAAAGTGTGCTATATTTCCGTGAATTTGGTCGTGAAATTAAATCAGATCTAAATACAGGCGATTTTGTAATTTAATTGGAATGCCCAATTTATTCAATAGACGATTTTAATCTACTTATTGAATCTATTAGTAGTTCACACATAAACGCGCAAACTCACTAACATATATAAATAGTATTATATATATAATTAAAACCACACACACACACACATTTAAATAAAAGTACAAACTATCGCCCATTTTGATACATATACCATACTCTCAAATAGCAATATCAGTACGTGATGCATTTAATTTGCATTTACATTCATCAAACAAAAATAAAAGGGCATAAAACTGTAATACCAAACAATAGGAGACGGAGTCCCGTTCCACGGGTAAATAAAGATAAAAACTTGTGTTTTTTAACTGAGCCCTCTCTCCTAGAACCAACAATATCATTTTAAAGTGTACCTGAACAGCAGGTATAAATACAAATTAGGTTCCTTCTTGATATTAAAATCAAAATATGAATAAAGAAAGAGCTGCGTTATTTACTTTTCAGAATAGAGGTGGGAGTCCACGAGTATGGTAATTAGATGGAGTGGGGGGTGGAAAGGGGGTGGAATATCAATTTTTATTGCATCACCTGTCAGTAGCGTCCAATCAGCGCCGGGCTTTGGAAGCATTAATTGATGAAGGTGTCTCCAGACTTGCTCACTTCCCTCTGTCATTTATTTGTAGCTAAACCAGCGGCGGGAAGGGCAGCTGCATTTTCGGTTCTCATTTCCCTCTCTCTCTCTGCTCTCTCTTTCTTGCTCACTCCCCCTCTCTCTCTCCGTGTCCCTCTCATTCAGCCTGAGCTGTTCACCTTCCTCCTCCTCTCTGGGTTAATGGAGAGAGAAGCAGAAGAGCGCAGGTACAGGAGCGCAGACAGACAGCAGCCTGTCTGTCTACAGCATCATTCACATTTTATTCCTTATGTCGTCACCATGGAAATGGATTAATTTTTATACGTACTGTTATTTTTCAACCCTCGAAGTTTTGCGTTTTTGAAACAGCATTGATAAGACAATTGACATCTCCAGCTGGACCAGCAGAAATGCCTTGAGAGAGGCAGCCGGTTTGCTGCGGATACCCATCAAGCCAGATGTGTGGATTAATACTATAGACAAAATGGGAGACTTGGAGTCTGGATTTGAAGAGATGGAAGGCGTGAAGCTTGGATACCTGGTTATTAAGGGCAAGCAAATGTTTGCACTCTCTCAAGTCTTTACCGACCTCTTGAAAAATATTCCGAGGACTACTGTGCACAAACGAATGGATCACTTAAACGTAAAGAAGCACCACTGTGATCTGGAGGAGCTGCGAAAACTCAAAGCAATAAATTCAATTGCTTTCCATGCGGCTAAATGTACTCTAATTTCAAGGGAAGACGTGGAAGCCCTGTATATTTCTTGCAAAACTGAACGCGTATTGAAATCCAAGAGAAGCAAACTAAAAACAAAGTCAGCAGAGGATCTGTATGATGGACACATTCGGTCTGATCCACAAAACAGTTTTTGGAAAGAAAAAGTTTGGCTCAGTCTACACGGAGTGTCTCAGCCTTTTACATTTAAAAACAAAGCTGGGCGGCAGCACGAGACTGTTTCGCCCCAAGCTTCCAATCTACCTCAAATTTACAGTAAATTCGCAAGCCATGGCTTCCATGCAGACGCAAAATCCGCATGCCGAAGCCCTAAAAACTTTGAAACAGCTCAAATACCCAGCAACTGTGTGGCATTTAATCCAGGGCATTCATTTTTTCGGAGTGTGGTCTGCAGCCGGCAGCCCGTCCTCTATCAGTCCGCCATTGCGGTGCAGTCCAAGCTCTCAAGCACCGCTGACCTAACTTATAAAAGGAAACGACAGTACGACGGCGCTGGGTGGCACTTCTGGAACAAAAGTAGGCACAGTCGTCGGGTTCTGCTTGTCCCCAAGTGCTGTAAGTCAAAAGTATCCAACGGCCATTTAAATAAATTTCACATCGACCGTGAGCTGTACCTTGCCCACCAGAATGTAGGGAATTTTCAGGAGAGCTGTAGCAGTGACACTGAATCGAGTTCTTATTCCGAGCGTGCCGACAATGACTCGGATTTCGGTTCTAGTCTATCCACTACTAGTAACTCTGGGACTTCAGATGACGAAGATGATGACTCCCTGTCGGAATCTTCAGATGTTAGTTCCGAAGATGATAGTTCTTCCGAATCCGACTCCAGTTCTGTATCGAGTCAAGTTTCCTTGCAGAGCATCCGTTACCGGCGCACGAGTTTTTCAACCCTCAACAATAAAGCACCTTTAGTGACGCAGGCTACTTTTCTATATGATCAACACAGACCAAAAAATCAGAGCGCAGCAACGTTGTCGGATTATGGAATCTCGAACAGGAAGCTCCCGAAATCTGACTTCAAACTCTGTGGGAAGAAACAAGAGGTCGGCAACGCATCAAAGCAGAGTAAAATCTGCCAACTTGTTCCTGGAACTAGCCTCCCTGAATCGAAGAGGGAGACAGCTCCTGGGATTACATTTTCAAACTTTGAAATTCCTGATGACCTAAAGAGGCTTGAACCCACAATTAACCGTGTTCAAGAAGAGGGGCATTCACCTTGCTTAAAGGAAAACAAAGACTTCCCTCAACAAAGGGTATCAGGACAGTCAAACAAATGCCATCAAGCCTTGATCTCACACTGTGCCCAAGACAAAGAAACAATAGTTTCCCAGTCCTCCGAAAACAATCCTGTAAATTTAAAGAAAGAAGCGAAAATTAGCCATTGCCTGAAACCTCATGCATATCTCACCATCAAGGCAGAACCGGAGGATCACAACACACTCTCAAATTACCAAGGCGAGAACAGCACCGTACCGAGAACATCGCCAACTTTACCACAAAATGTGAAAATCAAAGTCGAGGAAAACTTTGACGAGTATGAATACTCGTGTCAAATCCCTGAATTCGGACCGGAACACCACTGCAACGGCAAGGATCCAGACGTCACTAATTCGCAACATCCATGTGGCGAGGAGAAACCGTCAGAGAATTTGAATCACGCAAGCAAAGCCACTGAGTGCACCGACGACCCTGCCACTTCCCAAAAGTCTCCTTCAAAGAACCAGGAATTTAAAAGCACTTTAAACACTCCATATGCAGACGAAGGAGAATACAAAAATGGAGCACGGGTTAGAAAGAATTACAGGACTCTGGTATTAGGAAAACAGACTGGAATTCCGAGGACGCCACTTAAATTGAATGTGAAAGCTGACAGGAATCCGCGTTCTACAGGTAAACCCGAGCATTATGAAGGATCAGCAGAGGATTGTACGGGCGCGACCAAACGAAAACGAGCATCCAGCAATGTAGCAGCTGTGAAAAAACCCTTCAGCTTCATGGCAAATTTTCCGTCTCCGCCGTCACTAATTATCGGCAATGATGGGGATTTGTGTCCTGCGTATTCCTTGAAGTCTATGAAGGATAACATGTCACCACATAGGTCTCACCCTGTTTGGAAATGGCAACTCGGCGGCTCTGCTGTACCACTCCCTCCAAGTCACAGATTCAGGAAATTCTAAGATCAGCTTTTCTAATATTTTCTTGGAGGATATTATAATGATATGCCAAAACTCTGGAAACGTCTTAAAAATGGAATAAGATGCACTGAGGAGTTACAACCTACGACGGTCATGGATTTTATTTTTTTTTGTGAATCAGCGTTCCACGTTAAGGAACCCTTTCTGCAGTAACTACAGTGCCCCTCGTTTGTAGCTGGAACACATTCAGGCGTTTACCGACTAATAACATGTACCTCAAGGATTTCTACCGATAAAAAGGCGAAAGCGAGTAACTCAATCGTCACTTCGTAGCTTCGCGAAAAATGACGTAATTGTTGTGTTCGGAATCATCTTCTTACGATGGATCGTGCTGTTATTAAAGTGTGATATTATTCGCTAGCGGAGACAGACACTCTTTTGCTTAGTCTTTTTTTGCCCTGCCATGAAATGTCGTTTCTTATTAATTCAATTTTAGCACCATACATGCAAGCGTGATTAAATCGTTTTTTTTTTTTTTTGACAAATTTACTCTGAGTAGTTTCAACCTCGTTGTAGTTTCCCCACTCAACAATTTGTCAGCAACTTTGATATCTTCATTGCCTTTTGCATTTCTTTTTGCTCGTTATTATTAAGTGTACTGTTAAAAAGCATATTCCTCGTTTTTGTTTTGTCAGTTAACACCCAGACACCCCCTTAAAAGCAACATGCAACCCTGACTGTAGGCCCACCGGAGCCGGCCTTAATTATTGACAATCAGAAGGAGCTGTTGAGATTTGCACGAGGTTAAGTGAAAGATAACTACAAATACCGAATCGATGTCTTTGTAGCACATTCTCAAAATTACCATATATAAAACTAACCTAAAGCACAAAACATCAAATCCATGCAGCCACTTGTTTATTGTTCCGATTAGAACACCGTGTATTGTTTAAGATGGCAAAAACAAATACGTATAAAATCCAGGAATTCCGAAAATGTTGTTAAAGTAGATGCTGATCATGAGATGTAGTAAATCGTGAACGCTTACGAATGTTTATTTCTCCCGTTTCTGCTTCAGACACAGGGATATTCAAAGTGGGATTCTCTTTCATTTATACAAAACAGCAAGTCGCTATTCATTACTTTCACACTGGGTTAAAAGAAACGACGACAGTACGCCAATGTTTGTTTCATACAGCCCTGCATCTGAAACGTTGAGATGCGGTGGCTGGCGATTAATGTTGCTCTTTATCGGAGGGCGAGTCAATGTTACACGCATCCCCAAATCATTGCATAATTGTCACTGCTGCATAGGTGCTAGTTCCGAAACATAATTCATTGCAATCAAGACGAAGTACGTGCCTGAAAAACAAAGTTTACAGGCGTGTCTCTCTCGTTAAAATTGATAGAAACTCGTGCCAAAAATATCATTTGAGGAGAAGGCTAAACGGCTAAAGAAAAAAGTAACGTGTTTTACTAATTGAACACGTTGCACTGAAAACCAGCGATTTTTATGGTGCTGAGGGCTTTTTAAAAACTGGAGTTTTTTTTAAGACTTTCGCTGTTTAACAGAAAAATCTGCTTTTCCGTATTATTGAATTAATTGACATTTGGAGGTTTGTTATTTTCAAGATGAGTTTCGAAATAGCTCTCCTTAGCCATTTTCAATTTTTAATAAGATGAGTAACCTATACTTTAATAACCCATATACAGACTTTCATTCTGACAATAAAATTCATATTTACACTATTTAATTTTATATATGCTATTTTAAATAATACAACGTCGAAAGTTTTCAGGCTAAAATAGCATCCGAAGACATCTTTAATTAGGCAAAAAATTATAAAAAAAACATTTTTAATTAGACTATCCCACAGTCAGCATGAAATTCCAGCTGTTAAATACAACCAACACCATGAATAAGCTAAAATCGTATTCTTTGGGATATAAATAAATTATAGCTCTAGAAGACGAAACCTCCAGAACTGTAGTGTCAACATTGGTAATAATCAATGGTGACAGTCCAGTTGCCACAAACACAGGAATATCAGTGATATTACAGTTCGTATTATGATTAAAGTCTAATCACAAAATTACATTTATTACTCATCTGCAATGAGATTGAAATATGGAAATATCTGTGACGCGCCATAACTGCTTGTATCAACGAAATGCATCTCGGCGTTATCTCGTTATGGGTTTAGGGACTAGAGAAGCTCCGCTTTGAATACCCCAAAAGCGGTGAATTGCTGCTGTGACCCTAGGTGTACTGGTCTCTTATACCACAAAAGTGCTTTCCGGCTATTATTTTCTTGTATACGATATACATCCATTTGAAACGGGACACCCGAGCAGCGGCCTAAAAGTAATAGGCAGAATTAAATGTAAAAAAGTAAAATAATGGTTTACACAATGTTCAATGGTTTATGTATTAGGCAATGAAATGTGGTTGCATTTTGGAGAGGTTCTGCAAACAGCAATGGAAGTCCAGACAGTGATGTCAATGTACAACTGTATTGGTGTCGGTGCTTTAGGCTCTACGATTCCTCTCCATTGCATTTTCTATAATACTTGAGGTCAGATTTTTGACGCGACATTTGAGTCACTGGTTGTGCATAGAAAATTGAATATTTATTTTTGTGATTTACACGTTTTTGTACATCGTTGTGTAGGAGAAATGCACTCGAAATGGAAACTTGAATGGTGAATTCTGAAGCACTTTCCTTATTTTCTGAGCAATTAATTGTTCATTAAATTCATTTGAGTGTAAATGAACATGTGCATTTTTGTTATTGTGGACATTAAACAACTGTACTTGAGTCCTGGGTTAAATGTTGAGGCAGGAGATTCTGGACAAGTTTAGTGGACGGTAAAAACTAATTGTTTTTGAGAAAACTTAAATCAGGCTAAGAAATACATGTGGAAGGAAAATATATGCGTTTGTTCGTGCGCATGCGTACGTGTATGTGCACGTGTATATTTGTGCGTGTGAATGTGTCTGTGTGAGAGATACGGGGAAAAAGTGGGTAGGAGAACATGCGGCCAGGAATAATGAAATAGAATTTAATTATCCTATAGCTATAAGGAACAATCATTAGTATTAACAATGGTGTGTGTGCGTGTGTATGTGTGGTTGTGTGCGCCTGTGAAAGACTGAGGGGGTGAAAGAGTGGATTGTGGGGGAGGTAAGAGTCTCCAGTTATACATGCCATACATGCGCGCGCACACACACGTGCTTGGTCTTTCTTACACGCGCAGTCACAGAGACACACAACCATTACCCACAGACACACAACAAATTTAAGTAGTAAACAAACAGAAAAACAGACTTTCCGAAAACATTACAATGCTGCAGAACGCAAAATAACTTGGCCTTGTGTACAAAAGGCTCGTCAGGCCCAATCCTTTGCGAGGAAAGTATAGGCAAACACGACATAGAAATGTAGTAATTACATATGCATCGCAAAATCTGTATAAATGACCAGCACGGCAGACACTCAGACTATAGGAGGAGAAATTCCAAATGTGTATTTTTGTAAACATGCCTTATCACATGATCGCCTGAAATCAAGTGATTTAAAATTATAATACATTGTAATAGTGTGGTGTGCTTATAGGCACCAGTAAAAGCTAGTGCTGAGGATTACCTGCAGTAAGATATAACTGAATATATTACATCTAATTATGCGCTCTTATTGACCATTTGAAATTATGGGAAAAAAGATATAAAAATGTAAAAAAAAAAAAAAGCAAAAAGCGTCGCAGAAGAACGATGATCGCAAAATATACTGATGACGTACCTTAAATTTCCGGTTTGTATCGACTGTTTGTCAACACAAAAAGGTGGTATGAATGTTTATATGCACTGACTAGACTGATTTTGGTTAATTATGCTTATAACGTTAAAAACACACCGAAGACATGCTGAAAAGGTGTTTTACCGAAAAATAAAAATGTAATTATTACATGCATTTGATTATATATGGGAAATAATTCTCAAATGTACATTTTTAATGGGCAAGAAAACGTAAATGTGTTCGGTGGGCGTCTTTAAAGCTATAATTTGGATGTTTAGCCGTGCAATGATTGTTTGAGGGTCAATTGCAAAATGTCCTGAAATCATACTTAGATGTCCACTTAAGATTGGCTAATTCGTTGTAAATAGATCTTCTTTGTCTTGACTATTTTATTATGTTGTCGATGGTTAATTGTAGTGGGGATTCTCATTGTTATTGGCCGATAAAGGAATTAGTGCAGCCAAGAGCGCGACCCTCCCCAAAGTTAATATTGTCCTAAACTAAACAAGAACAAACAGAGGCGCCGTGACGGTATACATTCGCCGACAATAATGAGGAATAAACACGGTTTAAACCGTTATAAACGATGAAGTCATCCACTGAGGCACATCAGTGGTGTTTTGCATCAGATATGGAATCTGGCTGCTTAATTAAATGAATATACCGAGCATGCAGAATAACACGCCATCTTTATGTTAGTCTGAGTAAGCTACCAGAATACCGCGATTTTTCTCGGATGCTCGCCATACATTAGTAGGTTGCACTAAACACTGGCTCACTAAAATTGTCAATTTTCACCGTCTATCACTGTGGTTATTAGAACAGCTGCATAGGACAGAGACCGAAGTGTGAAGGTTTCAGTACACGAGAGTGTAACGTGCTTCAAGACAACAGCCTTCAGTGTCTAGAAACGTCAGCGAGGTGCTACTCGTTTTTAGTACCTCTATCCAGCCGTAATAGCAGAAGATGAAGTTGTAGTTTTCTCCATGGGCAGCTCCACCTAAGAACCACGTGTAAAATTATTTGTTCTATAAACACGTTAGTTGTTTAAGTTAAATAAAAATTTTCCATTTCTTTGTGCATATCTCCTCAGATGGAGTCCTGATTGATGACATTTTATGGTATATTGTAAAGCTGCGATTCGGGGGTGGGGTTGGAGGGGGTCAAAGTGATTCTTTTTGGGCCTATCTTGTATTCCCGCGGACAACAGAGCGGCCAGCAGGGAGACAACCTCAGAACATAAGGACTGAGCTTTCTCAAGTCCTCCAGCGGATTTTCTTGAGTCTTTTTTTTCTAAGCTATGTAAGTCTGTTTTGAGAGGATGAATATTTAAACCTTCGGGGTTAAATTCCCACGGAATCTGTGAAGGAAATAAACCGTGACGCGTGTTAAAATGCATGTTAAAATAGCGAAATAAAACAATACTCATCGTAACGTAAATTAAACTGAAATATACGCCGTATAGGCGCTGTAGAAAAACAAAACCTGAGGCTGTCAGCATTAGGCGTAGGCTATACTTGAACCAATGGGAAACACATTTCTCTACAATTCGGATTAATAGTGAAATTACAGCGAAACACCTAAAAGTGAAAAGCAAGCCTGGCAACAAAAAAATCAGCAAATTGTGTCACAGAAAATATTTTTTCTACAAATCGTTTATGAATCATATAAACAATACACGTCATCAGATCGTTAGCTACATAAGTGCAAAATTAAGCCTACAGTAAAAGCAAAGATGTATGGCAAAAAAACTTTTGCCGTTGTTAATACTTGTAGGCTACATGGGTATAGAAGTGTTTCATTTTTTTCTCTTATTTTGCCTAAGCAATACACACGTATTTTCCACGTACGAGCTGCGCTTTGCCGAAAAAAAGATGGTGGCCTATATCTCTAAACCGGTAGTCGACTCGTAATTTGCATAATCTCATAATTCTTTTAGTCGACGCACAACTTCTCCTGTTTACTTATGCACATGTTAAAGTTTTAAATGTTGGCACACCCGCACACACAATAAATAAACAATTGTCCACACAGTGATGCCAAACCCTGTTTCTTCTCGTTCTTTAGACGGCTGGATAGAAAAAACAGGCTATTTCAAACTTCTGATGAATCAAAGGTGCTGGACGAACAGCTTCGCTGCATGATGCACAAAATAGTCGTAGCATAACAGAGAACACTAAGGATAAACCGCGGAATGGGCTTTTTCGCGTAACCACGAGCAAAATGCGTTTCGGTTACCAGGCAAGTCATGCGCTCACGAGAGTTCAATAAATATTTCAAAAATAAGTTGTTTAGAAATTCTAAGTGGTAGCCAATCATTGTTAGGGGGTGACGTATTATACTAGGCCCAACAGAGTCAGAAGATTAAAGGTATGTCTTGTTTTACATAATTAAAGAGAGTCGTGAAAACCACAGTTCTAAACAATAGCTTAAAAACTACAGACGCTGCTTCGATGACAGAATGCACCTTATTTTGTGTTAATGTCACGTTGTTACAACTTCCTTGAAAAACACGTCTATAGACATATTTTTCGTCAGCCTCCGTCCCCACCCCCACCTTGGCTACGTAAACACACACACATTTTCTCTCTCACACACGCACGAGGCTCAAAAGAAAAAAATCTGAAATTGAAGATCTATAAAATAAACGCTCAGGAGTAATGATTTACCAGCAAAAAAGGAGAGAGAAAACAACGTAATCATTATTCAGCAGTTCCCTCATTCAGCTCATTGCAAAGCACATTCCCGTTCACATTATGTCGTTACTATTTAAAGTAATCAATGACCTATAAAATACACGAATTAATATCACTGGCAAGTAATGCATTTCAAATTTTCTGTAAAAGCAGAAAAAATACACAGGCCAAGAAAGACGCCTGGGGTAACAAGAGATTTATCTCCAACATACGTTTAAGGTAGGCCTTACATTTTGCCAACGGAATAACACCATTTCACATAAATGGAAACAGGAAAAGGAAGCGAGCTAAACGTGCCAACCTCCCCCCCCAGCCCGCCACGCTGCATATGGCAACGCAAGAAGATAACTTAAAAAAACCATTTTGAGCTTGACGGATAACATGTCACCATCCCGCAACACCGCATAATTTCTATTCATTTACACGACAGCAAACAAAAAACACTTTATACATCAAATATGCACTTAACAATCTCCTGCATTTACGCGAGCATGTCGTTTTAATAGGCCTATAGGTTATACAAGCCAAAACTTAAGTCTTCGTTATGCGATTACAGGATTTATCTTACTAGCCAGTCCTGTTTCTCGTAGAAGGGGGAAAGTGGGAAAACAACAAACCAAACATATTTTCAATACATTTCACAATTTATTTTAAAGTTGGTTACTATGTGTGTATTTGCATAATATGGAAGAAAGCAATCCCGTTTGTATCTCTCTTGATAGCAGAGAAGCACTGCATATGTACTAGCCTTCCAGATAAACTGTCCCGCCTATAGGCTATTATCGCCCGAAGACGAGACAAAGCACTCTCGCGTGAAAGGACAATGCGACCGTCGCAGGCATAACATTTTGTCACGAGTTTACCAAGATCCAATTTCTCCAAATTACTTTGCTGTTGGTGCTACTGTTTTCAGCTGTTAAAGTGCCAGCCACAAAATCCTAAAGCTCAACATATCCCTAGTGTGATTTTATTTGCTGGTTTTCCTGCCAGGATGCTGCTTGCAGAATCACGTTTATGGTAATACTTCACGTGTACAATGATGCAAATATTAAAGAGCTACTGACATAATTATACACATATCATGTAAAACTAGTTTTAAAGACGCATTACAGATAGTGGCAGTGCCATATTTTATTCGAATCAATGACCGTTCCATTGTTTCGCTGAAATGTAGTAAACGGGTTTTGCCACAATTAGCTAGACTTTACTGGAGGGTTAAACGGTGGGTGGGTGCAATTTCCATGTTATAAGAAGCGGTTCTTAAACGTGCAGCATTTGTGAA